ACGAGTGAAATTAGGGGTTGCTGAACGTCGTTCCTCCGCTATGGAAATTGTTTCAGGTCTTCTAGAGTTTTGGATATTTGGCTGGAATTTTACTCGTTTAATTCTCTCGATGTTACCTTACATAGATTTTGAGAAGTACGGACGATGGCATTAACGTTAGAAGATTCTATTTCTTGTTTCAGAATTGATCTTTCAACTGGAAGATTCGGTTCCTTTGTAAGTTAAAGTGTTCTCAGGTAATTCCTTCGAGGATGTTTCGTAGTTTGTGATTGTGTTAAATGAATATTCACGACCAGATGTAAGATGCGTGAAATTACCAGTTGTTCAAGATCGTACCTCCACCGTGGAAATAATTTCACATTTTCTAGAGTTTTGAATATTCGGCTGAAACTTTGTCCGTTTAATTCTCTCGGTGTTACCTTACATAGATCTCGAGAAGAATAGACGATATGACAAAATCCTATTTCTTGTTCCACAATTGATCTTTCAACTGGAAGATTCGCTTCCTTTGGTGGTTGAAATGTTCTCAGGTAGTTCCTTTGAGGATCTATAATTTGATCGGGTTAACGTATGGAATATTCATGACGAGATACAAGTTAGATGAAATTAGATGGTACTCAAGGTCGTTCCTCCAATATGCAAATTATCTGTAATTATCTATAGTTTGTTTCGTTGGAACTTCACTCAGAAGGGAGACGTACGTTGTATAAACGTTTTCCTGTCAAACGAATATCGAACAACATTTGTGTTCTCGAGTTAGCGAAATTCTGTGCATCGCCTTCGATATGTTTGACACAGTTCACGCGACAACAAGCAGACAGAACAATTTTCCGCGGTTACCAAGAGCCACTCCGATTAAGTTAGCTGGTCTTAAGCATGTTGCAGCGAATGGATCGGTGCGGTGAATAGAACAGCGATTGAATAGCGAGCAACTAGGTATTCGCGTACCACGAAATCCTCTCGTGTCATTGAACTCTATCAACATTCCGCCACATAAATCCACGTAAATCGACATCACCCAACATTCCTCTGTCTTTCACGAAAACTGCACCAACTAGAATCGAACGACAAACAACTTTCTCTCATTTATCTTCACGAATCTTAAACTTGCAAGATTAAAATTACTGCCATGCTCGGAAAATACTACTTGCATTTCGATAAGGAATAAAATATTTCTAACAATTTTTATGAATTTTACGCTTGTCATACTCGTATTCTTTTCTTTGCACTAAACGCAATCGAATAATAAGAAAATCAAGAAGTTCGAGAAGTTTAATCCTTGTGAAAGTAACTTTTAGATTACATGTGCCGTTTAAAAAGTTACAACCTACTTTCAATGTATTTCTATTCGAAATTTCACGTATTACAATACGTAATATTATGTCGTCACGTTATTTTTTCCATTATTAAGAGAGAAACTCGTTTCTTTTGTTATTTCCGCGATCAAAACTACCTTCCGATTCGAGAAATCTTATTTTTCCAATTGCAAATTACAAAAAAGGACACAACCGAACAACGAGCGAGTTGCAACGATTTTAACGTGTCTTCGATTCATTATTTCCATCGTTAAAACTTCCTATTGAATAAGTATCGATTGCCGCTCGAAAATTTCAAACGCTATATCAGCTGCTATTGGATAAGGAGAAGATGAAAACTCGATGCTGGATTTACTGAGATCCAATCGGTAGAACAACTCGCATAGGTCTTTCCACCGAGTTGAACCGAGCGTCGGGAAAAGTCGCGTCGCGGAAGTACAAACAGGATTTCGCCGCCGTTTCTCGAGGAATCTCATTCCGGGACGAGTGTATCTTTACGAGTGTCGCGGAAATAAAAATCCCCGGAACCCTTCGTGTAACGAGGAAACAGGATACCGCGACGCTTGTACGATTTTTTTCGAAAACTTTGAAACACGTCGTCAACGCGACGTTTTATTCTTATTTTTCTATCGAATGTTTGAATATCATTTTTCGACAATTTTCTACATTACGAAGCAGAATGAAAGCGTTTCGTTAATACGTTTCATGAGCGAAAACGAGGTGAAAATTCTATATGAACATGGCCATAAGCATAAAACTTTATTGAAAAGTTAACGGTGTATTTTAAAATGACGGATTTTGTCAATGCAAGAAGATTGACGTTGATGGACAATTTATTCTCGAACGTAGTAAATTGTTATTTTGTATTACATTAACTTCAGCTCCAGAACGTTTGTATCTTTGCCATTGTTACAGACAAGTATAATAGTCTATCAATGTACCTGATAATTTCACATACGCACACACTCATGCCATTTATACGGCTATGGTTGTATTACTGGTCGAATAGTAATTATTTTTAAATTATTTGCTAAATTGAGAAACATTTATATCGATATTATATCGTCGCGTGATAAACATTAATGTGATACAGATATTTATTTTGGCCGTGTACATTTTTGTTCGTTCAAGTGTTTTACAATTGGCGATGCTCTATTTTTGAAAAAATCTAATTAAATTTCTCGACTAAATTATAGCAATCACATCGAAATTTAGACTGTTGACAGTCCATGATCCGTATTTAACGCGTGATATTGTATTTTAAAATGTCGCGTCAATCTTTATCAATGAAAATATAATAATTAAAAATAGTAAGCTTTTAACAATAAATGAAAAATTATATTTTATACTTCCTTCCAGGAAATTTTTACTTTACATTATATTAAAAGCAATCCTATAAACGTGGTATTCGTATTTTACATTCATTCGTGTCATGGTATTTTAACGTGGAATTTTTAACAGTTTATATATACATTTATATTTCCATCTTCATTTTATTTTTATTCATAGAAAATATCGACGTCGCTCGTCAGGCAAATTCTCGGCCGTTATGTTCGCTGTATAATGTTCGCATAAACGTTCGTGTAAACGTTCACGGGAACGTTCCTTTGCGTAATGTACAGAGGAATTTTACACAATAATATGCAGAAACATAAAATTGCATTAATCGCTGCTGGGCAAATTCCAAAGCGAATTATTCTGTTTTCTACACTCGAGTGCGTAATATCCTGTAACGATTAAACGCGTCAGGAAGCATCGACGTTAATAGAATATTAATATGTTACGGTTAGATCCGGCATTAATATTCATTTGCAACGGACTCGTAAAATATCGCGTTGTTGGTATTAATTAGCTTCGCGATTTATATAAGCGATCGAGATTCACTGCTGGTCCAGGGATACGTATTAAATTAATCATCTTTTTAATAACTAGGAGTGTCAGCTATTGATTTGAACGTTTGATCGGTAGATGGACGTACTATGACTCATGAAAATATAATACTTTGATCGCTTGTATCATAGCAAACTTTTACGAATATCGTACGTCGATCTTAGATCTCGCTGAAAACCTTTGCATATCTACGAGCCTAACAAAACGAAGCAGTAAAATTTCTGCAATCTTGGATTTCTACTAAAAGTTAATCCAAAATCTTCATAATCCTAAATGTCATATTTAAAAAGCTACAATTTCCATACGTGTAGATTTCTCATAAAAATCGCAGATTTCTTTTCGCACTATTGAATTTCTAGAAGGCTATCAAACTGAAGCGCTAGAATTCTTACAATCTTGGATTTCTAACAAAATAATTCGGATTTTTCATAGCCCTAAACGTGTCACCTACGATTCCTGTAGCTCTAGATTTCTCGTAAAAATCTTCGATCTCTTCCAAAGTTTTCGAGTCTCTACAAACCCAACGAATCGGAGCCCCAATGTTTTTGCAATTTTGAATTTCAAACAACTAAATCTAGAATTTCCATAATTTTAGACTTCATACAAAAGCTGCAACACCAGGTATCCGATAAAGACGTTTGAATCGCGCCAACAAACAGTAGAAGATTATTCAACAGTTGAAAAATGTTCTGTAGGTTACATAGATAATAGCAAGTTAGGGGAAAAGAAGAGAAGAGTATTTCCTCTGACAAATTGGCAAGCAAGAGACGCGTGAACGTGTAGCATTGGTGCGTACTCGCTGCGTCAAGGTGGACACTGCTTAGGTGAACGATCGATAGAGCAGGTGGCAGCACATCGATTGCCTGCTCTGTTTCCGGTATTCCGATACTCTACACAGGCCAGGCTCCAATAACACTCGTGTCGTTCGCTTGACAGGCGACTTGGTCGTTTACGAAAATTCGCCCATCGATTGAATCCTGCTCTCGACAGTGAAAAATTTCGCGGCTAGGAAACCGACCAACGAATCCGTCGACAACCGTTAAAAAAATAGGAGACTTAGAGAAGCTTCGAATGTATTTTGAATCATTTACGAATTTAACTCCTCAACGATAAACCTCAAAAATTTAAAAACGAACGTAGAAGACTTTAATGCTGGAGGAAGGAGACTCTTAAAAAGAATATTTTATAGTAATAATAATAATAAAATATTGCAACCAATAGCTTAATGTAATAACATAGAAAGTGTTTTGTTAATTTGTAATCAGCTCCTTGCTTTCGATTTTTCCTAAATTTAATTTTTCCAGACAATTTAAGTAGTAACGAAAATTATAAGAGAGATAGCCGGGATTCGACATTATACAAATCTCTTTCAAGGCCGTTTTTCTACTCCGCATATCTTATCGATAATTCGAGAAATCGATACAAATTACCAAAATTCTTATTTAATGAAACGAGAATGTAATGAAAACCGGAATGAAAATTCACTCATCTACAATCGGCATTCTGTTTGTGAAAAGGAAGATTCTGCAACGCAACAGTAGGATAATAAATAAAAAATAAAACGGGAATAAAGAATCAATGAATTCTTTCAAATAATCCAAATAATTCTAGGAACTTCGTCGAATCCAACGCGTCAAATCTTCGCGTCGATGAATCTAATTACGTTACATCTCTACGTTATTATTTCTATCAAGAAATCAACGCTTCGTTCGCTCTTAATACACAATATGCGAATGAAAGAGACTCTGTGCGTCGTTCCATCAATAGGAATATTTCAATGAACGTTCTACTCACTTTGCGTATGTCTTCTAGATTGTGAATTTCCGGCGAGAGTCCACCGTGCACGCAGAGGAACTGTTGGTTCATGAGGGCCGCTAGCGGTAGACAGTCAAACGCATCCATGCAAGCGTCGTACACCCTCTCCGAGTATTTTATTTTACCTGAAAAGCAGAAAAGAGGACATGGTCGTCAGAACGAGGAACGATCAGCCTCGGTAGTTGGCGATTCACGTGTCGCTAAAACGCTATTCGATACGCTCGATTGTTTCGTTCTCAGCCTTTTTATACGTAGCTCTGGATGCTCTTTGTATGTCGACAAGTAACGTGAATAGGATGAGAGTGAATAGAAAGAAACGGAGAGGGGGGAAAAAAGGTAGACGCGGGAGGAAAAAGTTGCTCTTCGAAATTGACTGGCTGTCACGATTCGGAATATTATTGTCTATAGAGCAAGGAATCTTTGAGGTCTCTACGCGTTTCACATTGTTTGTGTTGAATTATTCAGACAGAAAGTTAATTCATCTGGTATTAATGGATCAAAGTTGGGCAATTTATTCGTTTAATGTATTTCTCGCTTTTAGAGGTTTGATGGAATTTTATGTTTTAATGGAGGAACGTGTAATTTGGTTTTTAGAAAGACTACGAGATAAAAGAAAGGTAAATCGAATGTTTGTTTGGGATTAGGGATGTTCTTTTTAGTTTTAATGCTAGCCATGTTCGCTATTAAAAAAATTACACGTCCTTTTCAAACCCCGAGGGTCTATAAAATATCTATGAAACATTATGAATAAATTATTTTGCTCCGTCAGTTCCACTTTGAAACCTCACCCAGGCACCATTTCGAATACGAAGAACCTTTTTTCCTCCCTCCACACAAACGAGCCAAAGTCACCCTCTTTCTCAAAGAAAATGTTCTTCACGCGTCGATTATTTCGGAGGTGGTGTGAAAAGTCTAGGCCCAGATTTTTCACTACAGCCAGATACTTTTTTAATGGCCACACGTCAACTTTTGTCGCTTGCCAGCTACAAAGGAGCATGGGACGGGTATCCTCTTTTCCAGGAGGCAGAAGAAAAGGTCGGGGAGAGGAGATAAAAAAAGAGAAGGGAAGAAAAGTCTCTGGAGAGCAATAAAGAAGGGCTGCAAGGTAGACGGGCCATGGAACCTCCGTGCAGATTTCCGTGTGCACGTGCGTGAGGACATTGTAAAAGGGAGGACGAATTCAAGGATCGTTTCTTGTACCCAGCCACCGTATGTCCACCGAGAATAATAAATCCCTCTATAGAGGAATTTTCGTTGCCTCGAGTGAAAAGTGAAGCCAAAAGGGAAAACTTAACGTTTCATAGAATAGAAAGAGTTGGGATCTCTTTTTGTCATGTTTGGCTTCTTGAATTAACTGGGTTTTCTGAGTTTCTCTCTTAATATTTCAATCCTCCTTTATGTTTATTTATTTCTTATTTTTATTTCTTATTTTTGAAGAAATAAAAGATTAATAAATAGCTAAAAATAAGTATAAAATAATAAATAATGAAATATAAAGTATTGTTGAAGAGGGGAATTAGAAATTGAAAATTATATCTTCTTAATTTGTCAGTTTGATCTGTCCGTTTGAAAAGTGAGCAAACAAAAATTTAACAACAGGTAAAACCAGATAAAAATTAAGTAAATTACTATTATCGAGATTTTTAAATGTTTTGAAATATTTAAAAGTTCGAATACTTCCGTATGCTATCGTACATTCAGAGTTGTGAAAAATTAATGAAAAAGCTTTCAAACCTCATATCACTGGAAATCCTTGTACCAATAAAACATCCAACAACGGCAGCCGCCCCATTCTGCATCGATCAACAACTTTCTTTATCTTCCTCTCTATTTACTTTCTAAAACAAGCTTTCTAAACATCTAAAACAATCGAACCTAAGACCTCCATTAAAAGAACCATCCGTTACAAACTTCCAAGTGTCCCTCGGAACTCTTCAACTCTCTAAATCCACTAACCGACTTCCGGCTCGATTCTGTCTTCTAAACTCCACTTTTCTAACGTTCTCCCTTCGTTTAACGTCTGTAACAACGATCGAAACGATTTTCCTCGCTGAAAGATTCGATCCTGGAGCAAATTCGAGATCTGTTCGGTTGAGATCCCAAGTATCAGCCACGAGAAACGATCTGTCCAGCTTCAACGTCGACAAATCTTCAGACAGGTTGTCCAAAGGATTCCAAGGGAGGTCGTTTTATTGACAGGAAATTCTTCTTGTTCGTCAAGACAGGAAGTTGGATCGGAGGCTGAACTCGACGGTCTCTTTGAGGCTAACAACAACGTTTCCACACTTTGTCCGTCTACTCGACGAATCTACTGTTGACATAATTCAACAGTCGACATAGTCGACATAATTCAAGTTGATATATGAATTTATTACATCCTTGTTCGATGATGTCTGACCAGTTAACTGGGTTCGACGTGTATACACGTTAATCCAGAGCTTTTTTTCGATACGTTTGACGTGTATACTCGTCGTGTGAAATAAAAGATTACCATTGACTATAAAAACTGAAAATTACGTTTTATTGACAGCAAGTCCTTCTTGTTCTGTTGTATACTCGTCGTGTGAAATAAAAGATTATCATTTACTATAAAAACTCAAAATTCTAGTAAAAATTAATACAAATAACATTTAGTGGCACGTTTGCTTTTTTTGCGAAAAACCTATTATGTATTTTGTAAAAAGAAAGTTTCATTATTTGATTATTCTCTTTGGTATATCAGTTATGGTCCGTATAATCTATGGCTTTTTATAAATTGAGTTGTTTATTTTCCCCAATGAATCCCCATTTTTGTGCTATGCTGCGTATATCGGTTATCCCCCAAATTGTTTTGTGTACTTGTTGACTTTATTATCCTTTGGCAATTTTTCAGTTTTTAATAACAATAGCCTTTTCAACGATGAATTATTAATGTTTTATCGAATATAAATATAATCCTTCCTCGATTTGCTTCGCTTCTTTCGTAAAATTTATAATAGGAGCATTCGGTCTGCGTTCGACGTGTATACTCGTCGTCGATAGATTCTAACTACGACCCCTTAAAAGCTTTTTGAAACTAAACTCCGCAGCTAACAGGATAATTGACGATGTCATCTCGAATGCTGGAGATTAGGTTAATTTTGATTAATGCTAATACATCACGTTGTTTATTTTTATTTACTTTTTTATCTACTTTGTATCATTGTATGTGTTGTTACTTTATAAGTTACATTTACGTATTATTTTATCAAACTAGTCTTTTTAGTTTATTTTTCGTTTTATCGCTATAAAAATAAATATCTTAGGCTTCTGATAACAATGAGAGTCGCTTCACGTTCTTTTTACCTTTCATGGACTAACATACTAGAACAACAAACCTCTGTTTAACACTTCGACGGTCGCTACTGCGTAAACGTGATTTTGCTCTGCCACCTGTCGTCCGCTGTCGTCATGTTTATGCTCTTTTTTTGCAATTTATTCGGCGCGCCGATGACGAATGATTCCTAGATTCGATCGTGTTCTATCAGAGTGAAACGATTTAAAAATACACTGAAAAGACCAGCAATTTGTGAGCTTAACGATCCACTGGTGAGAAAACAATTTATTATTCAAATTTCTGTAACTATATGGGAAACAAACAGACAAATAAGTCAGGAAATAAATAAATAAATTCATATATAATGCATAAGTGAAAAATACTTAAGATAATATGATAAAGATTTGATTAGTGAAGATGAATGTAACGTGACTTTTTCAAAAAATGTATCATAATTATGCAATAATAAATTGAGCCAGTAAAGTGCCAGTTGGCAGTAAAATTTACGCCCGTCAAAGTGTTAAGTATAATACGATTAAAGCGATAGGATGAAAGTGTAGATTAATCTTGTCAGAAATTGCGATCTGTTTCTAACAACGACGAAGAAAAGAATCACAGAAAGTTCTAGTCTCGACAGAATTATCAAAATTGATATTTCGTTGTCGACAGTATACAACAGGGAACAGCAGGGAAATCTAAGGGGAAAAAGGGAATTCGAAGTTCGTTGTATCGTTTCAAGCAAATAAAATTCTTACTTTCCTAAAATCGTTGTACTTGCTATCGTTTCTGTTTAATTAAATCTTTTGGAAGAGAAGCCAGAGAGACATTTCAAAGATTCTCGTTTAATTAGAATCACCTAAGACTAGAACGTAGAATGAAATCAACGATTCACAAACAGCCAAAATAGACCGGCGATAAACGTGTCGAATGTAGAGAACTGCGAATCTTGATTATTACGTTGGTTGGTTGTCTGGTTCTTGTTAATTGCACATGGTTCGTAATATCATCCTTGCCAACACGCTTCTACACGCTCCTCCTGCTCAGCTCGGCCTCCTTTCTCGCTCACGCTTCTCTCGTTGTATTAACGAGCAGATCGAGTTCCGTCTCCTTGACTTTCTTTTGATACCAGTCAGACATTGCGCTGGGACACTCCAGAAAGCTCATTTGCGAGCTTTTGACCCGAATAAATAAGTCAAGAACGAAACGATTGCGAGTTTCGTCGCGGCATCATCGCCGAACAACCCTCGTTCTGGCCGTGTGTTTCATCACTTTGTTCGTTCAACGTGCAGCGAACATGGAAACGGCGTGCTTCCGCAATGGATTCGAGCGAATCGAAGAAACGAGAATTGGAATATCGTTGATTTCGACCCCGCCTTTCTTTGGTAATAATGGACGAAATATGTAACATTTCTTTTGAAATGATTTAAATCGAGAAATCAGTCGGATCGAGAATTTGTTAAATGAGAGACGGGACGTTGGAATTTTCTTTCGAAATTATTAAAGTTGATGGAACGAAATTAGAAAAGAATTATTGAAATTAAGGATTCGCAATTGTTTGGCCAATTTTTAGATTACAATTTGCTTGATTTGTGTGGAAAGAATAGCTAAATTTTGTAGCGCGACAGGAAATTCATAGGAATTTTCAAGAATATTATTTTAAGTTCTTTGGAGATATTTTTAACTTAAAATACGTTCTCTCTGTGCCGTAACTAAGAAACGAATGATCAACAACCCGTTCTTCCATGAAATATTCCTATATTTCATTCCTATCTTCCCATCGTTCCACATTTTATTCCTCATTTCATATCGCGCTATGCACATCTCTGTTTGAAAATGAACTCACAATCCATTACAAGATTATAAAATGCTGATCGCGATGGAGCCGCATAAATCCAAAGGATTCAGTTTCATCCAGTGCACGATCATCCAGTTTCATTGGAGTTAGAAATCGAATGATTCGGTCTTTGACCTTAACCTAATTCCAAATCGACACGGTTAAAATCGCGAGCGTAACACAGTGGCGGGTTAACACGAGCCTCGTAAATACACGCGGCTTGACCCAGTATCGGACAATTTTCCAAGGATCGATACGGTTTTCCACGGGCCGCCTCCGCTGCGCCACGCAGAGAGCCTCGAGATATCGCTGATTGCACGCGGAAACTCTCGGATCCTGCAATTCCACGAAGATCGCGCGAGAACCTCCAGTCGAAGCTACCTGAATAAATGGTCCCTGGACCTGGAGATCCCGGATCCGCGATAATTTCGTCGGATCACGAATGCTCACGACAGTTTGACGTGTTCCGTGGCGAAATGGAATT